CAGACCTCTCCTGGCTTGCCTGCTGCTCCCCTCAGCAGTGTATATCGGTCAGTCTGCCTGTTCTGTTCCCCACTCTGTCTCTAGTGCATCCTCTCACCCAAGCATTGCTTCTTACTGGAGATTGGATTATAGCAGTTTGATTAAGCATATATTTTTTAAAGATTTATTTATTTATGCATACAAGAGCTGGGGTACAGCCAGAGATGCGGGGGGTTCACCAGAGGCAGAGTGGGGAACAGAACAGGCAGACTGACCGAAATACACTGCTGAGGGGAGCAGTGGGAGAGTCAGGAGAGGTCTGCTTCCCCATGTGGGTCACTCCTTGGCTGGCCAGGGATTGAACTTGTACTGCAGAGGCAGCAGATTACTTCACAGTGCGGTGCTTAACCCCTTGTGCCACCAGGGAGGGCCTGATTAAACATATTTTTAAAGGTTTTAATACAGTCATTGGCATCAGAGTGTGCTTTCCCATTTGCAAATTTCTAATTCTGTGCACTAATACCTCAAAGACTGGATGACAACCATTTGAGACATGGGTTTAGTTTTCAGAGAATCTGCAAAATACCTTGCAAAGAACCAAGTTCATTCTACTCCACAGCCCTTGTGTCTGAGTTGACTAAACTGTGGAGACTCTTCTGAAATTTATTGTGCCCAAAGGAGTAATCACCTAATCCTTGAAGTGAATTTAACAGAATTACTTAGTGATCAAAAATGGAAAAATCCATTAACAGTACTCCCTGTGAGTGCTGCATATGCATAAAAGCATATTTCTGTAATTTCCTCTGAAAAATAGGATCTTTAACCCATATATCTGTTTATGTTGTTCCCAAAGAATTTGGGATCAAGAGAAGTTTTAATTTGCCCCCAAAGCTCCAGTTTGGAAGGGGTTTACTGACTTACCTTCTTCCAGTAGGTTGGAGAGGCTGGATAGTTGATGAAGATACTGAAGCTCTGACAGACCCAAATCTCTACCTCACATCCTGACCTCTCCTCTGCAAGGTTTTTATAATTCAGGTTTCACAGCGCCCCCACGTGGTGAACCACGGATAACTCACGAATATTCGGTGACCAGGAGATCAGCACCTTCCCTTGACTTCTTTTTTTCCCCAAGATTTATTTATTTATGCATACAAGAACTGGGGTGTAGACCAGAGGTGCGGGGAATGAGAGGATTCACCAGAAAGAGCTGGCAACAGAACAGGTAAATCTACTGAAATACACTGCTGAGGGGAGCAGCGGGCGAGGCAGGAGAGGTCTGCTGTGCCATGTGGTTAGGTCCCTGGTGGGGCATGGAACTTGTTGCTTCCGTGGCTGGTGATAGCTTGATAGCGCTGACTTTAACCCCTGCACCACCAGGGAGGCCCCCCCTTGACCTCTTTCCCATCCCACAGATGCTATCCACAAACTCTGGAGTTGGTCGGCCTCACACCTAATCAATCTATCAGTCCTTCTGATAGCTCCACTTTTCAATTGTAAGCACACAGTCCCACCAGTCTCACTCCCTTCCTAACATCCAGAGTCCAGCTTCCATCATCTCCATCACCTCTTCCTGCATTCCCTCCTGCCCCATCTCTGCCTTCCATCTTCCTCTCCTACCACATCTCCCCTCCCTGCTGTTTTCTCCTGAGCGGTTTGAGGGTATCTGTTCACCCTAGAGTCAGACCATGTCCTTCCTCTGCTCACAGCCATCCTTGGCCCCGCCTCACCCAGAGCAAATACCAGAATCTTCTCTTCTCCACAGGTAGGTCATGCACTCCACCCTCCTTGTCTGTTCAATATCTCTGGTCACCACTGGACAGTGGATTGCGTGTTATTTGTTTTCCATTGAAAGAAACCAGTTTTTTGGCCTCCCTGGTGGCACAAGGGATTAAGACGCAACCTGTGAAGCTACCCGCAGCCACTGCAGCACAAGTTCAATCCCCAGCCAGGAAGAAACCCACATGGCACAGCAGACCTCTCCTGTCTCGCCCGCTGCTCCCCTCAGCAGTGTATTTCAGTCAGTCTGCCTGTTCTGGTCCCCACTTTGTCTCTGGTGAATTCTCTCATCCCCCACACCTCTGGCTTGTACCCCAGTTCTTGTATGCATAAATAAATAAATCTTTTTAAAAAAATAAACCAGTTTTTTATTTTCCATTGGGCAAATCCACATTCTTCACCCTATACTCCCTGATCCTTACTCAACTCTCCCATCTATAACAAACATCTCACATTCTCTGACTATAAACTCTCATCCCACACATTTATGGTGCTCTTAAAAATGCATCCCTTGGATATCCAACTTCCATCACCACTTTTGTGCCCAGGCCACACCTCCCATAATGCTTCCTAACAATGACCCAGCTCTTGGGAGGCTTGGGGCCACTCTGACAGTGACATTGGCCCTGACCTAGACCACCACAGTGTCCTTAGAAAGGCTGGTGGTAGGACTCTACTGCACAACCATCCCTACTCTCTCCCCTACAGACGTAGCATGGGTAGAGCTGGGGTATGATGAAAAAAGACATTTTCAGAACCAGTAGACTACCTGCTGGCTCCTCAAGGCCCAGAACACCCTAAGCTGTAGATGTACAATCACCTGAAGCTGTGACACGTGACAAAACCCTTTCTGGTTCCCAGGTTCAGCACCTGAAAACATGGAGTGGGATCTCTGTAAGTCAAGATGTATTTTTTTAAATTTGTGACGTTTCTATTTTAGTTTTTACGTTTGTGTGGGGATAGCAGAACCCAAAAATGTACTATGTAGCGCCACCTAATGGCAGGAGGTGATAGTGCAGTCTCCCAGGGAAGGGCCCTTGGCCCTTCCCAGCCTTTGCATGTATCCCACATTTTTAAGAACCCTATGCTGGGTGCTTAGCCTGTGGGTACTGACTTCAGGGCCTGGTCTATCTTGTTGTCCACTATGGGAGTGAAGTCCAGAGACTGAGAAAAGACCCTCTCCAGCTCTGCCTCAGTTTCCCCCAGGGTACTACCTGCCTTGGCCTCACTCTTCCTCCCTGGTCCCTGATCTTCTGTCTGGTTGTCTGGGGACCTGACTATATCGCTGTGGGGGGGCCACAGGTGGGCAGTCCACCCACCCATGTGGATGACCTGGGTCCTTGTGACCTGAGTGAGGGGATCCCCAGAAAGATAATGTGGATAGGGAATTTGCATGCCACACAGTGCTGCCGGGAGCGGTGGAGGTTGTGTGCTCAGTGGGACCCCCAGAGTCCACTGTCATGGGCTGGAATGAGGATAGTAGCTCACTCCTCCTTGAGGGGCAGGGTCAGGACAGAAGGGGAGGATTCACAAGCTGAGAATGAGTTGAGTGAGAGTAATCTCTAGCCTAACTTTAAACATGCCACCAAGTGTCCCTCCACCAAAGCTGACTCCCATCCCACTCCCTGCCACAGAATCCCTGGGAGGGGGTTTTTATAAAAACTGATCATGTCATGCCCCTCCCCTGGAAATTGGAGTCCCAAAGCCCCAACTTTTCTGGGGATGAAGGAGGGGAGGACTGGGAGTATAAACCCTAGCCTGGGCCTGGCACGTGCCTGGTGCCCCACATATAGCCATTCACTCTCTCTCTCCTTCCCCCTGAGAGTCTAGTCCAGAGTCTTGGCTGAGAGGGGGATTACAGGAGAGATGTGTGCTGAATTCCAGGGACAGGTGAATGATTTGGGGGCTCCTCTGTATCCACCATCTAGGGTAGTGTGCACTACTGGTAGAAGGTTAAGCATCGGGTTTTGCTGAAAAAGCCCCTCTGTGGGGTGCTGGGTTATAAGAGGAGAGAAGGGTCTAGAAATTGTTGGTCATGCTGACTCACCAATCCAAACCAAGCTGGACTAAATAAGCTTTGGAACGTGTTAGAACGACTAGGGGGAGAGATGAATCTTGAAATGCCTATGTTAACAATGCTGTTTTCCACATTCCAGTCCAAATTGGTGATCTCCACTCTACAAACCCTTTGCTTAATTTAGCAGACAGCCAGATCTCAACATGGGATAGTTTGAAGGGCTTCCTGGGGAAGGCAATGTGGAGCTGGGCCTTGGAAGGTATGGAGTCTAAAAAGGAGGCAAGTTAGGGGTTGAGGGAGATTGGTCCAATGTCCAGAATAAAACGGCACTGGAACTGCAAGTATTTTTAAGGGTCACAGAGCAAGGGTCAAGGTGGGAGGGAAGGGCAGCATGTGCTGCAATCAGCTACTGAAGTGGGGAGTTCAGAATTCAGATCTAAGTGCTATAAAGACCCCACTGAGACCCAGAGAAGGAGGAGCTGGCAGGACACAGGCTTTCCATCTGGCTTCTGGGCACTCAAGTCTGTCCTCACTTCTGGACAGGCCTCCCTCTCTCCCCACCCCCCAAAAGGTGGATAAATGCCTGGCTTCCTTCTATACTGGTATGATTCAACTGCAGAGATAGGGATCAAGGGACGTGCAGGTTTAAAGGATGAACACTGCGCCTTCTTCCCCATTCCTAACAGTTTCTTGCTACAAGTGATTGCAGCCCATTTTGGGAGTTTCCCCTGAGCCTCACCTCCAACCCAGAGTTGGAGGGTAAACAGTCCAACCCAGAGTTGGAGGGTAAACAGCCCAACCCCTCACCCAGGACTGTAACCAGAACCCCTATAGCTATAGGTGTCTGCTCCCACCACCCCCTGCCAGCCTCCCCTGCCCCTGCCCCACAGTGCCCCTTCCTGTAGGCCCTCCTCCCAGACATTCCTGCATCCTGGAGTCCTGTACAGAGTTGAATTCTGGATGGGATGTTCCCAGCCTGAGGTCCCCGAAGAGGGGGCAGGCCGGGGTGGGGAGCAGCTCCAAGAAGCGGCGGGATGGTTCCAGCCACCGAACCACGCGTGTTTTATTGGTGGATACACACAGGAAGAAAGAAGGGAATTCCCCAGCGTGGATCCCAACCCCAGCCTTCCCTCCCCGCCTCCAGGTGTCCTTGTAATTCCTGGGTCTTCTCTACGAAGACTGGGGTTGAGGGCGGGAAGGTGGGACCCCAGGAACCCTCGCTCTGCCGGGGTTGTGGGGGTCTGAGCCGGTGCCACACGATCCACTACCGGGGCCAGCCGTCGGCAGTGGGCAGGCGGCGCAGGGCGGGGCCCGGCCGTAGGGGCTCTGCCAGAGGCCTGGCCAGTAGCAAGGGGTAGGGGAAGGTCTTGGGAAAGTCACCAGGCCCCCCAGGAGCAGGTGAGAGGCGCTCAGACTTGATGTTGAGTGGGGGGGTTGGCGGGGAGGCGCTGCGGGCCAGGGGGCCTTCCTCTCCCAGGCTGCGGCCCCCACTGCAGAGAGAGAGAGAAGAGAGGCAAGGGCTCACTGAGGACGAGTGAAAGTCAGGAAGGTGGCACGGCTAGGGCAGACTCCGGAGGAAGGGCCTTGGGAAAAGAGGGGGTGGCGGTTCCTCCTGGGGCCTCCAAAATAGCCGCCCACCCACACCAGGAACTGCTATTCAGGGCTGAGTGCAAAACCTGGAGTGACCACCAGGGGTCAGCAATGGCTAGGAACTTCGGAAGACCTGGCGCCTCCCCGCTCCCTCCAGAGTTCCCCATCCCCCGCCCCCCCCGGGGAACCAAACCCAGACAGGGCTATTACCTGGGCTGTGTTGGTGTGACAGGAGGCCCATCACCTCTCGAGGGCTGCCAGGGGGCCAGGGTGGGGGGCTGCAGCAAGCTGGGGGGTGGAGGAGGGTCTCCCAGGCCATATTCTAAAGAGGGAGCAAAAGGAGTAAGCCAAGGCCTGGACCTGGGGATTCCCTTGACGAAGCCCCACCCATTTCACCAGTCTGTTTTCAGTTCCAGTTGGTGGGGGAGTGTGAAAGCCTCCCCCACCAGGGGGAGTGAGGGTGGGGGATGCCTACCTGGGGGGCCTGCGGGGAGGAAGGGGAAACTCCCCAGTGGGGGTCCTGGGGCTGCAGCAGAGCAAGGACTCTGCAGGCTCCCGTAGAGGCCTCTCTGCAGGGATAGAGGGTGAAAGGGAAACTGAAGTCAGCACCCAGGCCACCCTGCTTGCCCCCCATCAGCCCTGTCACATCTTCCCCTCACTCACCGAAGTGCTCAGTCCTCCTCTGGCTCCTGTCAAGCCACCAGGCAGGTCTTGCCTCCTCCCTTCTGCAGCCAGGTACAAGGGGGATGGTGTCTTGCTGGCAAGGTGGCTCGATGAGAAGAGAGGGTGTGCCAGGCCTGGTGAGAGGAGACCCGTACCACAAGAGAGGGCAGGTGGCCCTGTCATCTAATGAGGTGAGGTCCAGAGGTGATACACACAGCCAAGCAGTACCACAGCCAAGATCCCCTCAACAGAAACCTCCCTGAGACCCCCCCCTCCTCCCCCAGTGCCTGTGCCTCATGCTCACCTGGGGGCCCAGCTTTGGGGGCTGCTGGCCGGAAGGGGGATGGGCGACTCTGGGCAGGCAAGGCCTCTCCCAGCCCACTGGGGTCACAGCCTGGTGGAGGCAGGGCCCCATAAACCATGTCCGGGATTGGCATAGTGGGGGCTGCTGGCTAAGGGCAAAAGAGGAGGTAACTGGTTGTAGGAAATTGGCAATAGGGGCACCAAGTTCAAGACAGAAAATGCCAATGAGTTGAGGAGGCAGCCTCCACCTCTTGGAAGCTCACTACTGCTCATCTCTCAGGCCCAACCCCATAGCACTGGGGGAGCCTGTGTCTGACTCTATTACCCCTCAACAGCTAGGTCCATAGCTAGTGTCTAACTCAATATGGGGTTCAGCACTGAGGAGGCTTCCTGGGATACTGATCAATCAAAGAAATAAAAAAAGAAAGGAATTGTTTCCCTGTTGAAATTTTAATGATCTATAAAACCCAAGCTACAGTGCCTACTCCTCCAGGAAGCCTTCCCTGCCTATCCCCAAACTCTAGGCTTCCCCACCCATGTCCATACTCCAGGCTTACTGGCCTTAGTCCCTCTTTCAGTCCCAGTCTCTATCACTTGGGCCTCAGAGATGAGAAGGAACCCTATTCATGGCAGGACCAGGAGTCACTTACATGGAGCCGGGGCCGGGGCAAAGCTGGGTCGCCCCCATCACCTGCCAGCCTCCGCAGCTTCTCTCCTGGCCCCTCAGGCCCCTCATCTGGCTCCAGCTCTGGTCCATCGAGGCCCACACCCCTCCGCTTCAGTGTCTGTGGGGAGGGAAGACAAGAGAGTGGGATTTCCCCCTTCCTCCCACGGGAACGGTTCTATGAGAGGGGAGAGAGCTCTGTGGGTAGGGCACTGTGCAGGCACCCATTGCTCCAGTCAAGCCCCAATGATTAACCCCCAGTGAGGGGCCTCCCTGGTGGCACAAGGGATTAAGTCTCAGCACTGCAGCATGAGTTTGATCCCTGGCCAGGGAGCTACCCATATGGCGCAGCAGACCTCTCCTGTCTCGCCTGCTGCTCCCCTCAGCAGTGTACTTCAGTCACTCCCCCGTTCTGCTCCACACTGTCTCTGGTGAATCCTTTCACACCCCAGCACCTCTGGCCTAGATACCAGCTCTTGAATGCATAAATAAATAAAATAAATCTTAAAAAAAAAAAAAAAAAAAACAGTGAGTGACAGCCCCTCTTATGAAGCCCCAACTGCGAGTGATAGAGGGACTGTCCGCCCTGTTACCAGAAAGGCAGGGGACTCACCATGGCTGCTGGCACTGTCCTAACACTACTCCTGAATAAGGCTCAAGCACCCCCTTTCTGCCCCCAAGCACAGCTGGGCGCTGAGAATACTGAGCTACCTTCCCCAGGAGCCATCCTGGGTGGTAGATATGGGGCTGAACCAGCTAGTGCAGGGGCTGCTTCTGCCTCTCTCCCAAGGATGCTTTGGTCCAGACGAACACTCCTGGATCTCGGTGAGCTCTACATGCTTTTATTCTCTATCTATGTGTGTCTCTTTATCTCTGTGTTTACCTGTCTCTCCCTCTATATCCCCTCCCCCCATTAATCACAGCAGGGATTTAAAAGCACACTCCCTGGAGATGGACAGATCTAGGTGCACATTCTGCTTCCACCACATGTGTGCTGTATGACCTTCACAGATGGCGAGGACTCCTCTTGCCTCAAGTCCCTCTTCTTGTAGAAGCAGGTGACAGCCTACTCGTCAAATGGGTGACAGGCTTAAATGGGATGATGTGTGAAGGAATGGAGCCTGCCATGCACAGTGGTTTTTATTTCTGCTGTCCAGATGGCTGCCCTAGAAGGGACCCTCATTACTCCAGACCTGGTTTTTACTGGCAGCAAAGCCAGATCTCAACCCTTGTCTTTTATGCAAACCAAGTCTCTAGGCTCTGACTAAGCAGTAAATGTCAGGCTACATGAACCAGGAAGGGAGCCCAGGGGTACCTCCAGGATGTCGGTGTTGGTGCGGCTCTCGTGGGGCTCACTGTACTCTGTGTACTTCAGGAGCACGCGGTCCATGTCTGTGCTGGCATACTGGAAAAGCCGATTGGCACTGTTGAAGATGATGAGGGCTATCTCACAGTCACAGAGCACACTCAGCTCATAGGCCTTCTTCATCAGCCCAAACTTCCGCTTGGTAAATGTCACCTAGACCGAGGACCCACAGGCAGGGAAAAAGAAGGCAAAGATTTGTGGTGGTGTGGGGGAGATGAAGGGGCCTCACATTCCTCAGGATTCTAGTCTTTGGGTGTGCTGTTCTTTATGGTTGTATTCTCCTTCTCACTTCTCAACCTGGTAAACTCCTATTGATGCCTCCAAACCCAGCCCCAATACCCTCTCCTTTGGAAAGTTTTCTTTGATGTCCCAGGAAGAGGCCACACTCCTTCACTGAGCTTTGCCCATTCATGTCTCCCTCTGAAGAAGCCCTCTGACTTGGGTGTGATTGTTTCTATGTCTCTTAAGCCTTAAACGCCAGGCTTCAGGGGAAGAAATAAACAAAGCATCATGAAAATGAAAGATGCTATATCTCTAACTCCTGACATTGCATCCAGGCTGCAAATTCCCTTGCAGCTCCCCACAAATGACCAGGCTTTTACATAGCCTGTGTTCTGTATTGGGAACACCTTCCCCACAACCTGCTGTTCCACCAGGTGAACTCACCTGCCGATTCCTTTGGTCCAGAATGCGAGAGATTTGAATTTTTTTCCTCCCCATCCTCCCAGGCTGGGTGGCGACCTTGATCTAGTGGAGAAGAGGTTAGGGTGGGTGGGTGGTGAGTGGGACCAGGCACCCAGCCTCTCTCTTGTCCCCTGCCTGCCCCTGCCAGGCACTGAGAAGGAGATGGGAAATTAAGACAGGCTGGGTCACAGCCCCACTCAACCAACCCAGGATGCAACAGATGCTCAATGAATATTTTCAAACCAGTTCCACAAAAGAGAGCTGGCCAAGGGCAAAGACGCAGGTAAAGATTCCCCCACCCCAACCTTGAAAACAAAACGAGCTGGTAGCTGTGGGACCTCAGGTGTGCTTGACCTTCTGGGCCTCCCTGTATGTTTAGTGGGGTTAATAGTGCTGTGCACTGTCCAATGATATCAAAGATAAAATGAAATAACCCATTCAAGACATTCAGATCTTCCCAGGACACAGCAGATGCCACATATGTGCTGCTGTTACAAACACTGGTGACAGCCTAAAAACCACAAGCAGGCCAGGTCAGGGGGGCATCTGAAGTCCACACCAGATGGTGCTCAGCAAACATTAGTGGATTGAATTGGGAATCCTGAGCCACTGAAGCTGAGCCTTGTCCACACAGCAGACACCTTCAATCCATAGCAGCCCCAATGAGCAAGATCAAAAGCCGTAATTATTAGAAAATATATGTCAAAAACAACATTGAGATTGGAAAAAAGACTCAAAGGAAATGATGATGGTGGAAATTGTGTGTGTTTTTTTCCCCTTTAAAAAAATTTCAGGGCCACCCTGGTGGCGCAAGGGGTTAAGACACAACCTATGAAGCTATGTGCAGCCACTGCAGCACAAGTTCAATCTCCAGCCTGGGAGCTACCCACATGGCACAGCCGACCTCTCCTGCCTCGCCCGCTGCTCCCCTCAGAAGTGTATTTCAGTAAATCCACCTGTTCTCTTCGCCACTCTGTCTCTGGTGAATCGTCTTACCCCCCGTACCTCTGGCCTATACCCCAGTTCTTATATGCATAAATAAATCAGTCTTTAAAAAAAAATAAGTTCAAATACAATTCATATAAAATTAACCATTTAAAGTGAACAATTCAGGGCCTCCCCTGGTGGTGCAGCGGTTGAGCGCTGGACTGAGAAGCTGCCCGCAGCCTCTGCAATGCCGGTTCGATCCCCGGCCACCGGTGAGGGTCCCACATGGCGTGACAGACCTCTCCTGCCGCCTGCTGCTCCCCTCAACAGTGTACTTCAGTCAGTCTGCCTGTTCTGTTCCCCGTTCTGTCTCTGGGGAATCCTCTCACCCTCCACTCCTCTGGCCTGTGTCCCAGTTCTTGTATGCATAAATAAATCTTTTAAAAAAATAAAGTGAACAATTCAGTTGCATTTGAATTCACCATCCCTCTCTAGTTTTAGAATATCCCATCCCCCCAGATGACCCCATCTCCCTTACCCTACCCCACACAACCACCAATCGGCCTTCTGTCTCTGTGAATTTGCCTACTCTGGATGTTTCATATAAATGGATTACTTACTATGTTGACTTTTCGCCCCTAGTGATTACAAATTATTTTAATTAAAAAATAGATTAAAATAAGAGATTAAAATTATTTTTAATAAAAAAAATTTTTTAAGAATAGCAAAATAGGGTCTCCCAGGCAATACAGGGGTTGGAGCCTCAGCACTATCAAGTGATCACCAGCCACTGTGGCATGAGTTCAATCCCCAGCCAGGGAGCTGACCCACATGGCACAGCAGACCTCTCCTGTCTCACCCACTGCTCCCCTCAGCAGTGTATTTTGGTGGATCCACCTGTTCTGCTCCCCATTCTGTCTCTGGTGAGTCCTCTCACCTCCCCTGTGCCTCTGTCCTACATCCCAGTTCTTGTATGCATAAATAAATAAATCTTTTAAAAAGTAGAATAAAATTAATATATTAAAAATAATAACAAAGAATAGCAAAAGAGCAGAATCCCAGCCTGCCCACTTCCCAGAAGAAGGAGGTAGGGATGGCCTGGAAAAGCCTCAGGTTTGGAGTCCTCAGATGGGGGTTTGGGCCCAGCGTGTCTTGGAAAAAATGCCGGGCCCTCCTCATAAAGATCTGGGATCTCCTTGATGGGGACCCCAAGCAGCTTGGGGGCCACAAGAAGCAGAATATTGGGGTCTGGGCCTTACCCACAACCCCTACCACCAATACAGTCCTCCTGACAAATTCCATCTTGTCCAGCACCTAATGTCCATCTTTTTTTTTTTTTTAAAGATTTATTTATTTATTTATACAAGCACTGGGTACAGTCAGAAGCGAGGAAGGGTGAGAGAATTCATCAGAGCCAGAGCGGGGAACAGAACAGGCAGAGTGATGAAATACACTGCTGAGGGGAGCAGCGGGCACGGCAGGAGGTGTCTGTCGCACCATGTGGGACCCTCGCTGGCAGCCAGGGATGAACCAGCACTGCAAAGGTTGCGGGCAGCTTCACAGCCCAGCGCTCAACCGCTGCGCCACCAGGGGAGGCCCTAATGTCCATCTTGTCCAGCACCTAACCCACTGTATAGATGCCTGAGACCCTAAGAGGATGGGCCGCCCTACCCACTTTATTACCACACTGGACCTTATAGCCCCTCCCAAGTCACAGGTGACTTTAGCTTCAGGTGAACAGCCTGCCAGAGTCAGGGGTGCCCACTCTTGAGCCCTAGCCAGCCCCTGGCCCACTGGATGGTCCTCAGTCAGAAAGGTCTCTCCCTAAGGCTTTAGTTTGCTGTTTTGCAAATGGGGTGAGTATGAAATGCAGAGCACACAGTACAAGGCCTGTGAATGAACTCTAAGGAAGTATAAGGAAATCTAGAGCCATCTCTGGGAGGAGTCATATCTGCTTCCCAGACCTCAGCACAAGGAGTCTGGGCAGGATTCTCCATGGTCTCAGAATCCCAGGATCCAGCAATGTGCAATACCCTAGCAGCCTTTGGCCCACTATGTGATCCCAGGCACACACTTCACCCTCTCTGGCCTAGGTCTCTGAGCTGTCACAACTATGCAGAGCTCCAGCTAGAGAAGCCCCAGCCCTGGCCCCCCAGGTCCAGCTTAACTTGCTAAATTTAACATCCAGGGCTAATTTTAATCCCCAGCTGGAATCAGGAGTGTTCCCACGGCTGGGATGTGTTGCCCTTGCCCTCATGGGTCCCCGGGGATGGGAGGGGGGCACTGGCCCCAGAGGTCCCAGTGCCAAGATGACTCCGGAAATGCCCCCACGCCTAGAGTCCCATGGGAACATAGGCTTGGACTCAAGTGTCTGCACTGGAAGAATGACTTGGGCCCCTTCTCACTATGTACCCATTTTAGACAAGGACAGTCCAGTTAGGGCGGGGTTCACAGGTGTGGGGGGCGGGGAAAGGCAGGGGCTGCTGCTGAGTTGAGACCCAAGAGTCAAGACAGGAAGTGAGTTCCAGGCAGAAGGAATAGCAGGTGTGGGCCTGAGTCTGCAAAAGGGGCAGTAAAGAGGCTGAAGTGAGAAGGGTAGGAGGAGTAACCTCAGAGACAGGGCCATCTGGGTCCTCCGAGCTGTGGGGAGGCCTGTGGGGTTTGGTCTAAGAGGAGTGGGGAGACATGGAAGGGTTTGAGCAAAGAAGGGCCAGAGTTTGACACCTCATTTTCATTGTGGCTGCCACGGGGGCAGGACTATTGGGGGCTGGGGTAGAGATGGCAGGAGGCCAGAGGGGTGGCCAGGCTCATCTGTCTGGATAGAGGTTGAAGCGGAGGGCCTCTCTGTGCTGGGTCTGCCTCACATACTTTGAGTCACTGTTTTCTAAGGTGTATTGGGTCCCCCTGAAGCTACATCATCCCCTGCCTACATCATCTCTTGTGTCAGGCAATGCAGGAGCAGATAGGCTTGTGGAAGGGTTTGCTCATCTGACTCTGATAACCCTGAAACCACCAAACCTTACCCAGGAACCAAAGTGATCTCTGGCTATTGAGGGATCTAGCCAATGCATGGGCCCCTCACGCCCTATGGAGTGCCACTGCCTTCCCTCAGGAGAAAATTCCAGCCCTCAGTTTGGCATTCAAGGTCCCTGCCCCCAGAGAGCCCCCGCTACCTTTCTCTACTTTTCATACATGTTTCTGCCTGGACAGCTCTTTGTCCCTTCTTCACCTGGCCAATTCCTAGTCATACTTCAAAACCCAGCTCAAAAATTTTATTCCTCCAGGAAGCCCTCCCTGCCCTGTCCAGAAAGGACAGGCAGCCTCTGTCCTTTCCCTTCTGACACCCTGGGCATATATATTCAAGTGTGTATATCCAATTGCCTCCCCCAGACTAGAGGCTACTCAAGACTAGACATAGGGGAGACTGGAAAGATTTGATGAATGGACCAGGTCAACAGAGATACTTTTGAAGTTCCCCCAGCTTCCCTCAACAACTTCCTCTCAGACTCCCCCACACACACACTCATGACTCCCTACCCAGAAATACACGCGCATGCAAATCCAGCCACTCAGCATGGACCTGTCTCAGGCCAGGTGTGAAGGGCTAGCCAGGGAGTGCGGAGGCGGAGGGTCCAGGGTGTGCATATATTTGTACTCACATGCAAATCCCCACCGGAGCCGCAGACAGAACCAGTGGCTGTTCTCCAGATGTTGGTGTGCTGGGAACTGCTGGGGGGAAGTGGCGGCACATGTGGCACGAGGGGGAGAGTGAGGTTTGAGGAGGCCTCTGCTGTGTATTTATCCCCACACCCAACATCCAACCTGAAAGCAAAGGGCTTGTGGCATCTGCCCAACACAGATGTAGAAAGATAGACCCATGGACCCAGGAAAGGAGCTGGGAAGAAGGGTCAGGAGAAATCCAAGAGGGCTTCTTGGAAGAGGGAGTATGTAATTGAGTCTTTATAGAGCAACTAAATGGGGACCTAAGCAGATGAACAGGAGGGTGGGCATCTCCACCCCTTTCTTTGAACCTTCGCACTTAGCATTTATTAAGTCTCAACCATGTATCAAACACTGCTAAACTGACTTCAAAAGAAGTAGAAAGTTTGAGTAGGTCAATGAACATACAAGATTAGAAAAGTGATTGACCATTAAAGAGACAAAAGGTCCAGATGGTTTCACAGCTGTTTTCTCAAAACTTAAAGGACAGAAAAGTCCAATGTTTTTCAAATCAATTCAGGCTTTGAAAACGACGGGAGTCACTGTTATGAAACTCTTGCATATCAGAACCTGAGTCCAAAAAGAGAGACATATTGACCACTAAAGGGCTGCTGTCAACCAGAAGACCTCTCCACAGAGGTGATATTGGAGTTGAGATCTTGAGCACAAGAAAGCAATAGTCAAGCAAGAGAAGAGTCAGCCATCAGGAGATCTGGGAAAGGGTATTCAAGATTCAAGGGCAAAGGTCTGAAATGATCAAAGATTGACATTTTTAAAGAATCAAAGAAGACTGTGTGGCTGGAAAGCATAAACAAGGGGATGAAAAGAAGGGGGCAGTGGATCACATAGGTTCTTGTGGGTCACAGTAAAGAGTGCGAGCTTTTCTGCAAGGGCATGAAGAGTTTGTGGGCAGGGAGAGTCAGGCTATGATTTCAGAGTTTAAAATCTCTACATAAACTCTCACAAGTTTCTAGGAGGAGCAGGTTTTAGAAAACCATTCAACATCAACTAAAGGTAAGATGCTCTACCCAGACCAGTGATCCCTCTCCCCAGATTCTACCGGAGAAGAATGGGGCCATGTTTACTCAAGGATGCAGACTAGAATGTTCTCAGCAGCTTTGTTCTTCATAGCTCCAAATTGGAAATGACCAAATAACCTCAATGGGAAAACTGGCAAAAACTTTCTGGTAAGTTCTATGGTAGACAACTATGCAGCACAATAAAGGGTGACTCCATGCTACCGCAAGGGTGAAACTCCAGAACCACATGCCGATTTAAGAAAGCTGTGGGATTCGTTTACATGAAGCTCCAGATCAGGCAAAAAACTCACCTACGGTGATGGGCATCTGCACAGTGGCTACTTAGGGAGGGTGGGTACTGTGACAGGGAAGCAGAGTTCCAGGGGTTGGGGTGTTCTGCTCCCCAGTCTGGGATCTGGTACAAAGGTGAGAGTTTGTACACATGCATTAGCCCTACCCTGATAATTTTGTGGTTTTCCTATGTGATTTATCTCAATGAAAAGATTTAAAAAAAAAAAAAACAAAACTTGTTTCCAGGCCTCCCTGTTGGTGCAAGGGGTTAAGACGCAGCCTCTGAAGCTATCTGCAGCCTCTGCAGCACAAGTTCAATCCCCGGCCAGGGAGATTCCCACATGGTGCAGCAGACCTCTCCTGACTTGCCCGCTGCTCCCCTCAGCAGTGTATTTCAGTCAATCTGCCTGTTCTGTTCCCCACTCTGTCTCTGGTGAATCCTCTCACCCCCCCACACCTCTGGCCTTACCCCAGTTCTTGGATGCATAAGTAAATAAATCTTAAAAAAAAAACAAAAAACTTGTTTCCCCTCGAGCCTCCCTGGTGACGCAGGGGTTAAAGGCTCAGCGCTATCAACCTATCTCCAGCCACTGCAGCATGAGTTGGATGGGGCCAGGGAGCAACCCACATGTCACAGCAGACCTTTCCTGTCTCACCCCTTGTTCCCCTCATAGTGGATTTCAGTCCGCCTGTTCTGCTCCCCGCTCTGTCTCTGGTGAATCCCATTGCCCTCCATGCCTCTGGCCTACACCCAATTCTTGTATGCATAAATAAATAAATAAATAAATACATAAATAAATAAATAAATCTTAAAAAAAACTTGTTCCCCCGCCCCCACTTACAGCTGCTGTGAAAGCAGCATCTGTCTAGGCAGGAGTGAGGTGTCAGGAAAGCCTGGGGCAGGTGTCTAGGCAGAAGATTTAGGGCCTAAACCAGGAGGGATTGTTTGACCACTGAGGGGACTGGATATGCTGGCAGCACATACCCAAGCTGGGGGGATTGGGGTGGGGAGGTGGGGAGCCTAGGGTCCTGGACGTGAGCACAGTGAGACCTGGGGGAGGGGAATAAGGAAGATTTCATGAGTATCATAAATCCTCTATGGTGGTATTTGGGGTCACTAAGTAATCAACAAATACCCCTGTGACCTCAGGCCACAGACTGTTACTTCTTTGGCAAGGCCTCTTAGTACCTAGTAATGGGTATTGGGGGGCTGGAACGAATCCCATTAATCCCTCCCCCCCGCCCCGGACTTATCCTCCTGGGAGGACTCAATTTGCTTACCTGCAAGCAGGGTGAGTACCCTTCTCCCACCATCTGGGAAGGGAGTGGGGGGAATGGTGGTGGAGACTTCCCAGAAGCCAGAGGAAGAAGGGCCAGGCCTCAGAACTGGGGATACTGAGTCAGTGTGCAATCTTGCACCACCACAGCAACACTGCACCTCACTTCCTCCCCCAAAAAAGGGATCCAGATCTTTACAGTGAGAGTTTGAGAGAAAAGATCAGGAATAAGTCAAGTTCCCCTTCTGGGCTCCCAGTGGGGCTTTAATGGGGGGACAAGTGGCAGAGTTACCCTGCCAAACCCCTAAGCCCAAGGCCACAGCTCTGCCCAGGCCACCAGGAATGGAGGGGAGGAAAGGGGAAGTGAGAGGCAGGTGGGTGGCAGTGGGAGGAGGGGAGGTGAGGACCCGCGGGACCAACCAAGCGGGGAGGGGGCGCTTCTGGGTGTGCAGTGAATCAGGCAGGCAGCCCCGCCTCACGCAACCCCAGAGGTGGTTTCATCACCTGCTCCCCAAGTACCTCATTACGGGAGACAGGAAGAGCCCCTTGGAAAGCCGGACCCCCCCCCCTTTCCCTCTCTTGAGGGTACCAGCAGTTGGACCCCAGCTGCAGGAGACCCTCCCCCAGCTAGGCCCTGGGATGCCTCCTCCCCCAGGGCTTGGAGAGAAGACACACCAGGTGGGGGGCATGGGGTTGGCCCACACCAAGCGCTCCTGAGCCCAGGAGAAAGGGTGGGCTCCGCAGGGGCTCCCACATGGCTATACTTATTTGAACCTCCCCAAAAGATGGGGAGAGCCAGGGTGCCACCTTGAATCAGGAGGGCTTCGCAGTTGGTGTTCTATACACACTACTTCTTTGCACAGACAGCTTTCAAAGTCATTGCACCCTGATCTTGGGGTCCATTTCTCCTTAGCCCTGAGGTGCCCGGCCCTAAGAGGTGCTCTCAGAGTGAGAGCCCCAGGCAAACCCAGAAAGGAGAGTCTTGGGAATAAGGAGCAGGGAGAAGGACCATAAATATATACACAGATTGGGGATAGGGGTATTCCTCCCACAGGCGACCCCCAAACATTCAGAGTGTCTCAAAAAAAACACAGATGTCTAAAGCACCCAGGGATCCCCCAGATACATTCATCAGCCTCATCCTGGTGTACAAAAGCCCCACAAACAGTCCACAATATATGCAGACCCCACAATCTCTCCAAATACACATATCCCCCAAACTCAGATCACCCACATATGCAGACCCCCAAATATAAACAGACTTCTCCAGGCACACAAATGCCAACCCCCTAATACATGCTGATCCTCCAAATGCAAGCCCCCCAACACAGTTCCCAAGTCTGATCTCCCAAATGCACAGAACCCAAATACATGTAGAAAGCCCCAAACACACCAGCCTCTCAACAATATGCAGACCTCCTACATACAGAGAGAGCTCCTCAAACATATGTAGACTCCCCAAATACAGGCTGGCCCCCCATTACACACAGGCCCCTAGACACAGGTACAGCACCCTCCCTGCTGTGGTATCACCCACCCTCTTGCTCCTTGAGGTAGGGTAGTCAGTACCCCCAGCAGAAAGATGAGGGTTGCCAGGGTCTGAGGGTGAGGTGTGGGGTGAGTATTGGGAGTCACATGAATGGACACTCCTTGGGGACCACAGGTTATGTTGGTGCAGGTGGATAGGTGGTGGAGGGATAAGTGGGATGTTCCTGGAGACTGTGGGGGCCTGAGAGGGAGTTTTGTTGCCCACATGTGGCTCGGAAATCCAGAATGTTCCAGATGGAGAAGGTTCTTTGGGGGTCCCTTTGGCCACGGTTCCCTCTGGTACCCAGGGAGAAACAGAAGCCCAGTGGGGACCCTCAGATGACCTCCAAAGACTTCTCAGGCCTGTTCCTAGGAGGGCCCACTTTAGGGGCCCTGAGACACCAGGGCTGCCGTGATCTGTTCAGCCCATGGTTTAAATCTGGCTCCATCCCTTAGATACTGATATGCTCTGAGCCTCAGTCTCCCTGTTTATACACAGGCCTTTGTAAGCTTCCCCAGTGCTAACCCAGATTTCCCTCTTAGAAAGGACTCATCTTCCAGCAAATTTCCAGCCCACCTTCTGTCCTTTTATGGGCACCTGACCCACCAGCCACATACAGACCTATGACTTTCTCATCACCAGGCCTTTGCCTGACTGTGCCCTCCTTCTGGGATGCCCTTTTCAGGCTCATTCATCTTCAAGGGGCTGCTACATTCCTTTAAGGCAAGCAGAAATCCCTCTACCTGGAGCCGCCAATTTCCCCAGACACTTGGCCCTGCTGGATATTTTATGTGTGTCTTTGGCAATCAAGTAGCCCACTGCAATGCCTTTTCTGTGGGGGGCAGAGAACATTGAACCAGTGAGGAAGCAACTATTTCATAAACCAAAGAAAGATCACAATTGGATCTTTTAAGGAGTTCATGACTCAGAGAACAAAATCAAGGGCCCATCCAGTCCAACAGCTGCCAGTTTGAGACCCTGCTCTAAACAGCCCCGTGGACAGTGCTCATGTTCCTCTCAGGCCAAGGACTGACC